GCTGCTGGATGCTGAGCGATTTTGAAAGTCAGGCCATTATTTTTACCATGTTGATGGTCAGTATATTTTCAGAATGAAGTATACAGAGTCAGCTCTGAGACGGTTATGGATTGATATTACTAAGACAATTGGTTTGGTAAGATTCAAGAAAGGTGTGGACACAGCTGAATAAGAATAGCACAGAATCATAGAACTGTCGGGCTGAAAGGGACCTTGAGAAGTCATCAAGTCCACCCCCCTGTGCTGAGGCAGGACCAAGTAAACCCAGACCATCCCTGACAGCTGTTTGTCCAACCTGTTCTTAAACCTCACCAGTGTCAGGGATTCCACAACCTCCCTTGAAAGCCTGTTCCAGAGCTTAACTGTCCTTAGAGTTAGAAAGTTTTTCCTAATATCAAACTTCAGTCTCCCTTGCTGCAGATTAAGCCCATTACTTCTTGTCCGACCTTCAGTGGACATGGAGAACAATTGATCATCGTCCTCTGTATAACAACAACCCTGAAAATATTTGAATAACTATTATCAGGTCCCCTCTGTTTTCTTTTCTCAAGACTAAACATGCTCAGTTTTTTAACCTTTCCTCATAGGTCAGGTTTTCTAAATCTTATATCATTGTTGTTGCTCTTCTATGGGCTCTCTCCAATTTGTCCACATCTTTCCTAAAGCGTGGTGCCCAGAATTGGACACAGTACTCCAGCTGAGGCCTCACCAGCACCAATTACCTCTTGTGTCCTATATATGAGACTCCTGGTAATAAACCCTAGAATATCAACCTGATTTGCAACTGCATCACATTGTTGTCTTCAACTCACCCTCAGATCCTTTTCAGCAGTACTACCACCTAGCCAAGTATCTCCCACTTTGTAGTTTAGCATTGGATTTTTCCTTCCTTCCCTCCTTCACACTTACCTTTATTGAATTTCCTCTTTTTGCATTCAGACCAATTCTCTAATTTGCCAAGGTCATTGAATTCTAATCCTGTCCTCCAAAGTGCTTGCAACCCCTCCCATTTTGGTGTCATCTGCAAATTTTATAAGCCTACTCTCTACTCCATTAGCCAAGTCATTAATGAAAATATTGAATAGTACCGGACCCAGGACAGACCCCTGTGAGACCTCACTAGAGACACTTCCAGTGTGCCAGCAAACCATTGATAACTGCTCTTTGACCATGTGTTTTCAACCACTTGTGCACCCACTTTATAGTAATTTAATCTAGACCACTTTCCCCTGGTTTGCTTATGAGAATATCATATGGCATTGTGTCAAAACCCTTACTAAAATCAAGGTATCTCATATCTACGGCTTCCCCCCATCCACTCGGCCAGTAACCCTGTCAAAGAAGGAAATAAGGTTGATTTGACGTGATTTGCTCTTGACAAATCCATGCTGGCTATCCCTATTATCCTCTAGGTGCTTATAAATTGATTGTTTAATTATTTGTTTCAGTATCTTTCCAGGTACTGAAGTTAGGCTGACTGGTCTACAATTCCCCAGGTCCTCTTTGTTTCCCTTTTTAAAGAGATGTACTGTTTTTTCCCTTCCCCCAGTCCCCTGGGACCTCCGCTGTCCTCCAGCAGTTCTCGAAGATTCTAACGGTTCTGATTTTGTTCCATAAGTACCCCAGATGACTTTCATCAGGCCCTGCCAACTTGAATACTTCTAACTTATCTAAATATTCTTGAACCTGTTCTTTCCCCTAGTTTGGCTTGCATTCCTTCCCCCTTGTTTTTAATATTAATTGCGTTGAGTATCTGGTCACCATTAACCCTTTTAGTGAAGACTGAAGCAAAATAGGCATTAACCATCTCAGCCTTCTTCATATCATCAGTAATTATCTCCCCTTCCTGGCTAAGTAGAGGAGCTCTTGTCTTGCTCTCGCTTCTAATGTATAAAGAGCCTCTTCTTACTGCATTTTATGTCCCTTCCTATACATGACTCATTTTGTGCCTTAGCAGTTTCGATTGTGTCCATACAAGCTTGTGATCTTTTTTGTGCTCCTCCTTAGCAATTCATGCATGTTTATACTTTTTGTAGGATTCCCTTTTCAGGTCATTAAAAAGCTCCAGATGGAGCCATATTGGCCTTTGACTATTCTTACTGTCTTTCCTTTGCATTGGGATGGTTTGCAGTTGTGCCTTTAATATTGTCTCCTTGAGAAACTGTTGGTTCTCCTGAACTCCTTTATGCCTTAGAGTTTCTTCCCATGGGATCTTGCATGCCAGTTCTCTGAGTCTGTTAAAGTCAGCTTTTCTGAAGTCCATTGTTCTTATTCTGCTGCTCTCACTCCGTTCTTTCCTTAGAAGCATGAAATCTCTCATTTCACAGTCACTTTCACCCAAATTGCCTTCCACCTTCAGATTCACTACCAATTCCTCCCTGTTGGTCAGAATCAGGTCTAAAAGGGCTGCCCCCTGCTTATTTCCTTCACTTTCTGATACAAGAAGTTGTCCCCAGTAAAGGCCAAGAATTTATGGGACATTTTGTATTGTGCTATTTTACTTTTCCAACAGATATCTGGGTAGTTAAAGTCCCCCCATTACTACCAGGTCTTGCATTTTGGTTATTTCTGCTATTTGTTCTACAAATGCCTCATCTACCTCCTCTTCTTAATTTGGTGGCCTATAATAGACCCCTAACAGGATGTCACCCTTGCGTTTCCCCATTTTATCTTTACCCAGAGACTTTCAACTGGTCTGCCTCTCACCCCCTTCTAGACCTCAGAACAAGTGTGTATATTCTTGACCTATAATGCAATACTGCCTCCCTCTTTTCCCTGCCTGTCCTTCCTGAATAAGCCAGACCCTTCTATATCTATATTATAGTCATGAGATTTATCCCACCAAGTCTCTGGGATGCCAGTTAAGTCATAATTTATCTTATTGTACTAATACTTCCAGTTCTTCCGGTTTATTCATTATACTTCTTGCATTTGTTTATAGACAAATAGCTTCTCTCTAGCCTAGATATTTCACTTCAGTATATAGGCTTCTGTTGTTAAAACAGCCAGGAGAAAAATGAGTGTTGTGCCTAACCTGCCTCAGATTTATTTGCTAAATTTCATTCCAGTGTATACTGAGGTGAAGAGGACAGGTCTGGCTGTAATTTCCCCTGGGAAATGCCCATATGACCAGCCAAAGCATTAGCATGCCTTGCCAAGGCTGGCGGAACCTAATTAAATAACACTCATTGGTATGATTGTCCTAAGTGCTGCTCCCTTACTTCACTTCCACCTAAGTCCATAAATGACTCCACTGCAAGGGGCAGAAGGCTGGGTGCAAAACTATGCAGAGACTCAGAGGTAGTAAGGAAAGGAAACCTTTAAGTGTATTTGTTTTCTTGGTATATATTCTAGAGGACTTTGAATGTGTACATTTTAAATGTGCCTTTTCCCCATCCCAGTTGCCTCCACTGAGCCTGCATTCCTCTTCAGCACGTTCCTGGTGGAAGGAACTTTCCGAGCTGCACGTCCCAATTTGTGTGAATGATACAGTTGCACCTTCCCAGGCTCAATTAGCATCCGAAATCAGAGTGAACAACATGCTGTGACTGTGTGTGCTAGACAAGCTCAAGGATGCTGTGAAGCTATGCAACATTTAAACAAACAACCTTTAATGTACAGCAGATTTCAATCCAAAGCTAATGCTGTTGAAACGCTCTGTGGGGTGGAGGGGAGGGGGAAGAGGAGGAAAGAACAGGGGCACTTGTGTTTATCAGGGGGTGAAAATACTGGACTTGCACCTTGCACAAGCTGCATAGAGTTGTTTGGCCCATCATCAATCATAAGCTTGATGAGCTCATTCATGCAGTGCAGAGGGCTGGGAGACAAGGGTTTTGCTTTCTACTGGGCAAGGCACTTTTCTGTGCCCCAGTTCCCCCTCTGTACATTAGGGGATAATACTTACCTCCCCACAGGGCTACGGTGTTCAATGAGTGTCTGTAAAGTGCTTTGAGAGACTGGGACGAAGAGGCAGGCAAGGGGTTGTTATTCAAAAGAATAATCACATCCCCACGCTTTCCATGCATGCCAAAATAAACGTGTCAGCATGATTGAGCCAGGATTGAGCTTTCTAACCCACTGTGATTCCATGCGATGCGTCGATTTAAACCATCTTGCCTCTTTAAAGGGGACGTTTAAAAAAAATGTTTTTAGACCAAAAGATTTGAACAAGTGCAGAGTGAGAAGGAATGGGTTCTTTAAGGAGGAGGAGGGAGAAGCGAGAGAGTGACAGAGAGACTCACACCAAAAGGTCCTTCCAACTGGTCTCTGCATTTTGAAGCCTTTTCAGTGACATCACTGTTCTTGTCTTTATAATAAAGGGGACCTAGGAGTCTGCATTCAGTCTGAGCTCAGGCAGATAAGCATATTAGAAACAACTGCACCTCCCATCTATCACCACAGAACAGGCTCGCATTTTATTTCCACCATGGATTGAGGGGTTAAGCTTAGATAATTTAGAGATCAGACCTGTCTTTCTTTTTCTTTTTTTACTGGCCAGTCTTCTTGTGCTGGAAATATAAGATTTTAAATGGGAAGTTGGAACTTCTTCTGGCAGCCTGAAAGGAGGATTCCCTCAACTCCTAGAGGACACAGGTAAGAAACTAAATAATTCCTGATATTCTGCAGAGCTGCCCTATGGAGAAGTGGTGCTATTCTCCTGGCGGCTGAAATGGATGCAAAATCCTTCTCCCCTCGCAATATCAAGAATGATGAAGAAATAGATATTGTAGGTATTTTATGTTTCCCGGTAAGTGAGGGGTCATTTATTAGTGCAAATTCTTTCACTGAGTCTCTTTCTGCTTTGTTGATCACTTCTCAAAATCAGAACAAACCCCTCCTTGGATCAGACAAAAACATGCCCCAAATGTTGCAGGGAACTTTGAAAGCTCTATCAGATGAACATGATCTATTTCTACTGCCTTCAGGGTCCAAATCAGTTCACTGGAGCAACTGGTTAACGACAGGGCTCTGTATCATTCAGCCTGGGCATAGAATTAAAGCATGAGTGTTGGCGCTTGCTGTGTGAGCGGAGCTATAGCCTTAGATGTGGAAGGAGTCTAAGGAGACAAGGGAACTGCTTGTATTCTTGTACAGCTGAATAGGGCTCTGAAGGATGTGACAATGACCGCTCTGTGTTTATCGATTAGGATTATCTCAGCAGAACATTTTTTCTCCAGGTGGTTGAGTGAGAACAGATAACTGTCTGCATGTCTTGATCTCCAGGCCACCTGTAACCTTATTCTTTGGTGCCGATGGTAGCGGTTCTGTTCCCAACAGGAGGGAAATGTGTGCACGCGGGAGATACTTCAACAAGAGGTGCAGCTTGGACAGCCTAGATGAACTCCTGAGTGCCCTGGAACAAGGCATAAGGAGGAGCCAGTCACATGAAGGGGAAGAGGCTCCTGCCTGGTTGGCTTTGCCCTGCAGAGTGGGGTGTGTGGCATTCCCCAGGGGAAAGCACTGTAGCTCCAGAGAGTGGGGGAGAATTACACACCGCCAGACAGTGGGGATCAGACTGGGATGGTCTGCGCCAGGAATTCAGCCATTTGGATGAGGTGCTGGGCAGACAATTCTTAGCACGTGGGCAGCACCAGGATGGCCAAGAAAGTTAAAGATCAATGGCTTGATCATGCCGGGGCCTTCTGCACAAGGGTGTGTGTGTGTCGGGGGTGGGGGGGTAAGGACTATCACACCCTCTGTGCCTGGCCTGCATTAGGGTCACATGGATTGGGGCCCTGGCATGCAGGGATGCTTCCCTGGCAGTAACTGGATAGCGAGTGGGCAAGAGGGCGAAGCCCTGGTTCCCCATGGGGCCCGTGGGAGCTGGCTGGCTGCACGGGGACTATGCCACACCTGGAAAGGGCTCTCGCTGACAGCGCCCCGGCAGGCACAGGTGGGGAATGATGGGAGTCACTGTGCCACAGAGCAACCTCTCTGAGGACCAGGCTCCTTGTGCATCCCCACTCACCCTTGCTCGGGGGTGTGCCTGAAAGTGCGACCCCACCCTCGGCTTTTAGGGGTGGCTGGGGGAGGGAGTTTGGACAGGGCTTACAGCAAGTGTCTGGAAATCTCCCTGGAGTGAGCCTGACAGCTTAAAACCGACACTCAGCACTGACAGCACCCGACAGCCCTGAACACGCCCTTTGTCCAGCCAAAGCTTTCCGGGCTTTCTCTCAGCCCAGAACTGCCCTCTAGTGCCCCTCAATAGGATGCTCATAGAGTTCCCACTGTAACACAGTGCTTTGCTCAGGGACAAGTCAGCTGGCGAATAAGAGACAGAGATGAAAAGGGCCTATTATGTCCCATGTAGCCCATCTCCTGTAAGGGGGCAGGAATCCAGTTTGTATTTTCACTGGATGTAAACTTTGTAGAAAATCTCATCCAAACGCATGCAGGTGTCTATCCATCCATCCAGCACAGAGATACTGGGCTGGAAGAGACCTTGCGAGGTCATCGAGTCCAGCCCTCTGCCCTTGGCAGGACCAGATGGACCTATCCCATCTCTGACAGCTGTTTGTCCAGGCTGTTCTTACAAGCCTCCAATGATGGGGATTCCACACACCCCCCACCCCCTTGGGATCCTGTTCCAGAGCTTAACTCCCCTGAGAGTTAGAAAGTTTTTCCTATTATCTAACCTCAGTCTGCCTTGCTGCAGATTAAGCCCATCACTTCTTGCCCTACCCTCAGTGCACATGGAGAACAATTGATCACCATCCTCTTTATAACAACCTCTGATATATTTGGGGACTGTTATCAGCCTCCCGCCCCCACCCCACCTTCTCTTCTCTAGACTCAACATTCCCAATTCTTTCAACCTTTCCTCATAGATCAGGTTTGCTAAACCTTTTATCATTTTTGTTACTATCCTCTGGACTCTGTCCAATTTGTTCACATCTTTCCTAAAGTGGGGTATCCAGAACTGGACAGAGTCCTCCAGCGTGGCCTCACCAGTGCCAAGTACACTGGGATAATTACCTCCCGTGTCTTACACACAGGAACAATGGGACACCACTCTTGTTAATACAGCCCCCAAATTGACTCCTTCTGCACGAGAGGCACTCTAACTCTCCAAATGTTTTCTGCAGTACTGCTGCCTAGCTCCTTATTCCTCTTTTTGTAGCTGCGCATTTGATTTTTCCTTCCTAAGTGCAGTACTTTGCACTTGTCGTTACCGAATTTCATCTTATTGATTTTAGACCCATTCTTCAATTTATCAAAATCTTTTTGAATTCGAATCCTCCTCCAATGTGCTTGTAATCCCTCCCATCTTGGAGTCATCTGCAAATTTTATAAGCCTACTCTCCACTCCGTCATCTAAGTCATTAATGAAAATATTGAATAGCACCGGACCCAGGACAGACCCCTGTGGGACATCACTTGAGAAGTCCTCCCACCTAGTGTGACAGCCATCTACTCCTTTCAACCAGGTGTGCACCCACCTTATAGAAACTAAATCTAGATCATATTTCCCTGATTTGCTTATGAGAACGTCATGTGGAACTGGGTCAAAATCAAGATACACAGCTACCCCTTCCCCCCTACCCACTGGGCTGGCTACCCTGTGAAAGAGGGAAAGTAGGTTGGTTTGACATGATTTACTCTTGACAAATCCCTGTTGGCTATTTCTTATAACCCTGTTCTCCTCTATGTTTGAACAAATGGATTGTTTAATAATTTGTTCCGGTATCTATCTAGCCTCCCTCCCTCCCCATACAGATCTATCTATCTAGATTGCAAGCTCTTTGGGTCAGGGGCTGTCAGTGCCTAGCGCAATGGAGCCCTGATCACTGTTTGAGGCTGATATGTGCAATACAAAAAATCTCTCCCTCGCTACTTACCTCTTCTGTAAATCATCTCTCACTGTAGTAGCGAGGCACTCTCTCTTTTGATGAAGGACTAGAGCAGGATGCTTGCGTTCCTTTCTTCACTACATGCCCATTATTATAAGTCCTTTGCTCTTTAACATGCAGTGGCAATAAAAGTGGGACACGCCATGGAGAAAGGATGGGCCAGGCCATATCTGTGGCCTGAACCTGAACATCCATACGGCAATTTTATAGCTCTGCAGCCCGAGCCCAGGTCAGCTGACCCAGGCCAGCCTCAGCTCTGCTGCGTGTCTTCTATTGCAGTGGAGGCATGCCCTTATTAGCTACCCCAAAACCAAAGCCCTTTGCTCCTTCAGAGGTCAACTGCCCCTGCTGCTCCATCCCCTCAGGGGGGCCTCATTGCTGGTTGCTGTGCAGAAGATATTGTGCTGTTGAGAGTCTAACTCTCTCCCTTGTTGAGCAAGGCGCATCGGTGGATAACTCAGGCACTGAGAGCCAATTTGCATGCAAATCTCCTTTAGGGAAGAGAACCACTCGAAACGCAAGGGATGGAATTAGTCTGAAAACAGAAGGGCAGATCCTGAGCTGGTGTAGACGGTCAGAGCTGCATTGGCTTAGTGGAGCTCTGGCAATTCACACCAGCTGAGCATCTGTCTTATTGTGGCACCTGCTCATTAAAAGGCAAAATAATTACACAGCAGAGCTGCGCCGCCCGCTCCCGCGGTGTCATTGTGCTCCCCCTCATTATGTACATAAACTAATTACACAAATGCAATAATGGAATGCCAATTACGCAGATGACTTTTCTGGTGGGTGGACTTTCCCTTCAGCCTTGCCTCTCCCATTAATGTTCTGCCTATGAGTTAATAAGTTGTTTACTTCACTTGACACATTCCAAGCTGGTTTGTACATATCTGGGGAAATTGTCTTGTACAAATATTCCTTCTCTCATTTCTCTATCTTTCACCACTCCACCTATACCCATTTCTGCATCTATCCCCGGGGACATCTCCACTATCTCTGCACACGCCCATCTCAGTCTCTATATCTGCACCACTCTGATACCCATTGTTTCTGAGAGTCTTGTCACAACTTGAAACTTCTCTGTTGTCAAAACACTGAAATTCCCATAATTCTCCTATGGTCTTTCACAGCTGAGCAAAATCCCTGCCAGCCCATGGATGGCCCCGGGATGGAGTCAGAAGGCAGAATCAACAAGACGATCTCTTCTTTAATGAGCCATAAAAGGAACTTGACATATTTGCCCTACTACCAGCACTCCCCGCCTGTTGCCGCTATCTATATAATCTCCTACTTGTTTATCTTCGCCTTGTGCATGGTTGGGAACAGTCTGGTTTGCTTCATTGTGCTGAAGAACAGCCGGATGAGAACAGTCACCAACCTCTTTATCCTCAACCTAGCCATCAGCGACCTGCTGGTTGGGATTTTTTGTGTGCCCACCACACTCGTGGACAATTTAATCACAGGTAAGGAGAGAGGGTGACACTGAGCGCTCTCTGTGCTGGCCAGACCTCCAGCAGTGTCCCACCTACAAGAGTTGATGAGAAGAGAGGCCCTGAGCACAGGATTGACTCAATCCCAGTTTCCTCTGGGTTCTCAGGCACATAACTCCACTGCTCTGGGCCATTTACATACGCACCTGCCTCAGAGGGGAGGTGTCAGCTAATACTTATTAATTCCTTTGAAGAAGGAAATTGACTTATAAATGCTAAGAGTAAGGAAACCACTAAGACCTAAAGCAGCCTTAGGAACACAGGCAATGAAGCTCCATTGGGAGCATCCAAAGGTGTAAGCACCTGAGAGAGACAGGGATCATTTAGGGTTGTACGAGTGCTGCAAAGCTAGCCAACATTTGCAAACCTGGGTGCCTCGTGGCAGACTTCTAAATAAATGCTGCCTTGTTTGCAAAGGGGCCGAGGGCCTGTAGTTCCCACTGACTTCCATGGGATCAGCAGCTGCTTAGCACCTTAGCATGCTCTGCTCCATGCTGTTGGCAAGATGAGGGGAATTGTGCAGGCATTTTGTGTGTGCTACAGGCTTGATCCAAAGCCCGCTGAAGTCAACTGTTGGCTCCAGCGACCTCTGGATCAGGTCCTTGGTCCCTAAGGAAAGTTGTGGGGCTGCTCCACATGGTAGAACGAGTCAGGAGAGTCTCTTCTTGCATTCCTGAGCTGGCCCGGTGACGGCTGGGGCCCGTCCCCAGGCCAGGACTCTCCACAGGGATCAGTACTGTTCCCTCAGGCTTCATTAAGTGTCTGCTGAGCACAGCAGCTCCCTCCCCTCTAGAGCACACGGGGTTGTTCTCCTGCCTAGGCCTGGGTAGGGGTGACTGGCTAAGCGCTTCCTGCTCTGGCCCAGGAGCAACTCGGAATAATGCCCTTGCCAGAGGAGTCAGGCCGGAGGCAGCTGGCATCTGTATGGTCTCAGGCTTGGAGCCTGGAAAAAACAATGACTTTGTCTAACACATTGAAGCTTCTATGGTTGCTGGCACCCAAAGTCCTTGGAGGGTTAAGGATACTGGGATGCTCTGAGACACGCTCACTAAATGGGTCACAGAAATGCATCTCATTTTCTCTAACTGGTAAGTGAATTCTCTGCTTGCTGGAGTGAGGGGCTGACAGTGCTGCCCAAGTGCAGGGAGAGGAGATTCTGTATAAACTTCCCACACACATCTCTGCCAAGAGACACCAGTCCAGACCTGCTGTGCCCCCTGCCAGCCCACTGACCCTGGCAGCTCTGCCAGTGAAAACTCTCTGCTACTGCAAGTCCAGAAGTCCCACACAGCCCTGCTAAGTCACAGCAATCCTGACCCACAGGGCTTTCTGCTCCAGTTCTGGGCTTCCACACTGCTCTGACAACGCCTTTAATATCTGTCCTGCAGCCCCCCTCGCACAGTCTGCCAGTGCCCTTCGATCCTGACCTGCAGCACCCCATGATTGCCCAGGCCTGCACCCCATCACTCCCCAGATCTGCCAACAGTTGGACATTTCATATACATATATAAGATGCTAACTTGTCTGAAAAAAGAATGAGGAGTCCTTGTGGCACCTTAGAGACTAACAAATGTATTTGGGCATAAGCTTTCGTGGGCTAAAACCCACTCATCAGATGCATGCAGTGGAAAATACAGTAGGAAGATATATATATATACACGGAGAACATGAAAAAATGGGTGTTGCCATACCAACTTTAACGAGACTAATAATTAAGGTGGGCTATTATCAGCAGGAGAAAAAAAACTTTAGTTATTATCACTACAAAAGACAGTGATTATCACTACAAAAGTTTTTTTTCTCCTGCTGATAATAGCCCACCTTAATTGATTAGTCTTGTTAGAGTTGGTATGGCAACACCCATTTTTTCATGTTCTCCGTGTATATATATATATCTTCCTACTGTATTTTCCACTGCATGCATCCAATGAAGTGGGTTTTAGCCCACGAAAGCTTATGCCCAAATAAATTTGTTAGTCTCTAAGGTGCCACAAGTACTCCTCGTTCTTTTTCCTGATACAGACTAACACGGCTACCACTCTGTAACTTGTCTGAGTTCCTGTAGTGAGACGATTGCTGCTTTGGCAGAGAAGAGCCGCTAACAATGAAATCACCCCCAACAGTTTCTCTGCAGGGTAGGGGCTTAATGTGCAAGCTGCATGGACTCTTTTCAGCTGCCGCCCGCAATTAGTGCTGTATTCGGCCACAGCATCCTCTCCCAATCTCTCTTATCATGTGATCTCCCCTGGGCAAAGCAAACTGCATTGGCGTTTCATGGTGCAGCAACTGAGTTGAAACTGCACCTCTTGGGTTTGACGAGCTTCTGCTTCTCCCAGACTCACACTGACCCATGTCTGATTGTTTTCTGCTAGGCTGGCCCTTCAGCAATGGAATCTGCAAGATGAGTGGGCTGGTTCAGGGCATGTCTGTGTCCTCGTCTGTTTTCACGCTGGTGGCGATTGCCGTGGACAGGTGAGAAGAGGCTGCACAAGGGAAAGTGGAGCTGCAGCAGCATAAACGGAAGCTCCCCCACCCCCTGACTTTAAATAAAGAAAATCAAAGCACAGGGCTCTGAACCCCCTTCCGACTCTCATTAAGATCAACAGGGAAAGATAGATTGGAGCAGGCTCTTTATCCACAGTGCCGGCAGTATCTGGTGCAGCCGCGCCACCTTCCCCACACTGCCCTGCCAAGGTGCTGAGGGGGAACCTTGCTCGCTGCAAGCATTTGGCCTTTAGGCCAGGTCGACACCACAGAACTTTTGCTTGCATAGCTCTGTTGGTCAGGGGTGAGATTTTTGGCCAACAGAGGTGTGCTGGCAAAAGCCAGGGTGGTGGGGGTGGAGGCAGGCATGAGCTAGACAGTAGCATCTAAAGCGCAGCGCTGGTGTAAGCTGTGTCCACACTGGGAGCGCTTGGCTGCTATAGCACATCAGCAGAGCAGGACTGGCCAAGCCTTCCAAGGGCAGGCCTGCCCTTAGGTGCTATGTGGCCAGTCCAGGCCAGTTCTGCTGGTGGCTTTTGCCTAGTGGATGCCTGCCCACATGCAAGCCCCAAGCTCCTTCCACACAATGGGCCCTGAGCAGCCATCAGCTAGGACCTGCTAGCATGAGGGGCAGGACAGAGCTGTGTGTGGCTGGGGCCGCTCCTCTTCCCTTTATCAGTCCCTGAGCCATCCAGTCCCAACGCGAGGCTTTTCATGTCTGAAATTTGTGACGCTACGCTGAGCGTGAACGGCTTCAAGGACTGATATTTTTGCAAGACAACTACGTTTAATTAAAAACCCCATTACTTGGAGAACAGTTATGGAACTGCTGAATTAATAACTCCAAAATTGTTTCAAGTAAGAAACAGCCAGAATCAAAAGGTTATTTCCACTCCCGTACATTTTAATCATTCAGAGCCGTGTGCCTCCTCGCAGCCATTCACATCAGCACAATGTGGCAAAGGCAGACAATTACCTCAATCAAATGCAGGCTTCCTTGTTTTGCAATCTTATGCTGCAGGTTAACTGGGGGAGTTTGACTTTATGAGTGAACCTGCAAACTCCAGATAAGACTGGAATGGAAGGGTGGGCCATTGGTTCTACCTTCCCGCTTCCGGGCACATGCCAGCCTCTAACTGATCAGAGTTAGGAAGAAAATGGTCCTCTGCACAGGTGATTCCATAAATGCCTGTTGCAGGTTTTTTTGACCCTTCCTCTGAGGGCAGCTGGTACTGGCCCCTGTCCAGGGTGAGATACTGGGCAAGAGGGACTCCTGGTCTGAGCTAATCTGGCAACCCCTCTGTCCTAAGAAAAAAAGGTATTTTTAGAGCTGGTTGAATGTTTTCCTCTGAAAGGGGGATGGTGCCGGAAGGTGGCGGGGTGGTGTGTTTTTGTTTTGTTTTTTTAATGATGGAAAATGGATTTTTTGATCAAACAGAAATTCATGAAAAATATCCATTTTTGTCAAAAAGTGGTTAGGTTTTCATTTAAAAGCTCTCTCCCCTTCTGCCTCTCACGCTTGTAACGAGCATCCCCTCCACAGCCACAAACCTGACTCATCCTCCTTCTCAAATCTCCTTTGCCACAAAGCCTACATTCACCTGACAACGGTCATGTTGCTGGTGTCCCGAGACCACTGCCTATCCTCCTAACCAGCACGGTCTCAGTGTTTCCTTGTGCTCCCCCCTTGCCTGTCCCCACCTGCTGTGCTTGTCTTACACTTAGATCATCAGCTCTTCAGAGCAGAAAGGATTCCCTTTGTTCTGTGTTTGTACAGCGCCTAGCACAGCAGGGGCCTCGTCCAGGACTGGGGCTCCTTGGTGCTATGGAATCAATAACCAGTACCTCCACTGCAGAATGGGGGTACAGTGTAAAGACACAAGCCGTGAAATTCTGGCTCTGTTGAAGTCAATCTTGGCATTTTAGCACCAATCCACAATTTCACCCCTTCTCTCTTTCAATGGAAGTTTTACCATGACTTCAATGGAAGCAGAATTAGGCCAATACTAAGAGCTTTTGAAAAACCCAGCAAGTGGTTGGATTAGATACTGGGGACCTCTGCCCCTTTCCACCTCTGTGGACATGGGCCCAAAGAGACATGATCTGGGAGTTAACTACCAGTCTTCCTGGCCCAAGGTAATCATGCACCATGTCCCAGGAGAACCTGGTACTACTTTGTGCTTAGATTGCTTTTGGGTCTTGCTCTGTGAAAGTTTCTCTCAGTAGAACTCACCTATCCGTGTGTTGGTTTTGCATCAGGTTCCGCTGCATCATTTATCCCTTTAAATCGAAGCTCAGTCTGCTCAAGGCCCTGAACACCATCGTGGTCATCTGGGTCCTGGCCATCACCATCATGTGCCCTTCTGCTGTCATGCTCACGGTGGTGCAGATTGAGGATCACTACATGGTGTACAATGACAACCAGAGCCTGGCTTACCCCTTGTATTCCTGCTACGAGGCCTGGCCCAACAGCGAGATGCGCAAGGTCTACACCACTGTCCTTTTTGCCCACATCTACGTGGCCCCATTGACCCTCATCATGGTCATGTACGGTAGGATTGGCGTCAAACTCTACAGGTCATCGGGCCCGGTGAGCAAGCACAGGGTGGAGAACCAGGAGTGCTGCAGTGCTGCTGTCTCCAGGAGGAAGGTCAAGGTAATCAAGATGCTCATTCTGGTGGCCCTGCTCTTCATGCTTTCCTGGCTGCCCCTGTGGACCCTGATGCTGTTCACAGACTACACCAAGCTGGATGACGACCAGATCGACCTGCTGACGGGCTACATCTTCCCCTTCGCGCACTGGCTGGCCTTCTCCAACAGCAGCGTCAATCCCATCATCTATGGCTACTTCAATGAGAACTTCAAGCGGGGCTTCCAGGCAGCCTTCAAGTTCCAAGTTTGCTCGGAGGAGATAGGGCATCATGAGGCCTATTCGGAGAAGGTGACGGGCAGCACCAGTGGCTTCAGCACTCGCAACAAGATCTTCACGGACAGGGAATCCTCCGACTCCGTCTGCCTCAAGAATCTGCATGCCAAAGTCCCCTGCCCCGTGCAGAATGGACAGGCCCAGAAACAGGGACTTCACCTGCAGGATATTGATAAAATCACCCCTTTGAACAAAGTCTGCAAAGCATGGGATGAGTGAGACTGCTGGCGAGATGGGAATGCTGTCTCTTTCCATTTGCAAACGTCACTTTTATTTGTTACGGTGATGCGTGTGCAGTGAGGAGTATTTTCCCCTCAGGCCTGGTACCTAGCTATTCATATTCTGTTTTGTAAATGCAAAATGAATCGCATGGAGCTGCTGTTCAATATTCCTATCGATGCACAAATATCTGTCAATCGCTTTCAGTGTATAGTTGAGGCTAGCTGTCATATAAAATGTCTGTCTTAAAGCTACAACGCCATGCAGAGTTTCCTTGGCTTGCAATCAGAATGTGGTTCTTTTGGGGGTGGAAAAATGTATTTCACAGGTCAGGATTCAGTTTTGCATTTAAAAAAAAATTCGATGAGTATTTGTCTTCTTGTGTTAGCAAACTGCTGCCTGTCAAGCTCCTACTGCTGTTGGGCCGCCCCATCTGTTATATGTGCGGAAGAGAATCCCAAAGCTGATAGGGCAGCCGAAGTCTCTCTCTGGATGCTCTTGCAAGGTTCCAAGGTCAGTACTTCAGTACACAAAAACCATTCCAGCAGCTCTGCAGTGTAACACAAGAAATCGCAGCTGTATCCAGGGAGAGTGCCACAATAAACACTCCACACTTTTGTTACTAAGATCACTTTAAAACTGAAAGGATTAAAAAAGAAAACCCATCTAGGCTCCAATCCAGCAAAGCACTTAAGCAGATGCTTATCTTCAAGCATGGGAGTAGGCAGGTTCCTGATGCTTTTCACCATTCCTGCTCCTTGACCTTGTCTAGACTAGAAATATGCACTGGTTTAACTAAATAGATTAAAAAATAATCTAATTCAACTAGTACAAACCCTTAATATAGATACACTTAAGACGGTTTAATCTTTATTTAAACAGGTTCAGCTGAGTCAGTACGTTACAGTGAGCTTGGCAAGGGTTCAACTGGTTTAGCGCGTCTGGATTAGGAATTTTCCCCAGTATAATGGATCAATTTTCTGATGGATTTAGTTCAACCAGTGCACTCATCTAGTACGGACTAGGCCTTTGTTACTGTTTGGCATTTTGCTCAGCAAAAATTCCTCCTGTGGACACGATGAACTACTGAAACAATGGAATAGCAGACATCACCAAAGACCGTCGGCCAAATTCTGTTCATTTACACTTGTGTAAATTTAGAGTAATACCATTTCTCTCAGGGCAGTTACTCCAGATGCACATTGCTGTGTCGGAGAAGAGAGCTTACCCCATCTTCTCCCCAGCTGCCAGGGGCTGCTTGGGGACAATGCAGAACTGCATGTCCCCCAAGGGCATTGCCCCTCAGCAGAGCTTGTGATGTGCAATACACAGTGTGCCTGTTCCAGTGATTGGCCCTTGGAGATTTCACTGGCAACACATCCTGAGCAGGCAGTCAGCCACACAGGTCTGCTAGAACATGAGTCTATTATGCTCTTTGATCCATCTGTACCCATTCTTTGAATGTAGATTAGCTTATGCAAATTGTACACACAATAGCCTAACCATTTCCTGTTGGTTACAAAGCCCATGCTAAATCAGCTCATGTCTATTCATAATCACATTGCTGGAAAATCATGGGCACTGTGAATCAGTGACTTTTCCTCACGCCCGTGTCTTGCTCCTGCGATACATAGGGAAATTCACCACAGTGTTTTAATGGGTTCTGTGCCATTTCTCTGGATTTCTGGGATTTGCGGCAATGAGAAATGAGAAGGACTCCAAAGAACAAAGGGGATTGGAGGCAGAGGTAGAAAGAACTGAACATAAAGAGGACAGTCTAAAACAGGGGTAGGCAACCTATGGCACGCGTGCCAAAGGCGGCACGCGAGCTGATTTTCAGTGGCACTCACACTGCCCAGGTCCTGGCCACCGGTCCGGGGGGCTCTGCATTTTAATTGAATTTTAAATGAAGCTTCTTAAACATTTTAAAAACCTTATTACTTTACATACAACAATAGTTTAGTTATATAATATAGATTTATAGAGAGACACCTTCTAAAAACGTTAAAATGTATTACTGGCACGCAAAACCTTAAATCAGAGTGAATAAATGAAGACTCGGCACACCACTTCTGAAAGGTTGCCGACCCCTGGTCTAAAATGAGCTGCCAAACTAGTGCGGTGCCCCAGCACTAAGTTAATCTAGCAGGGAATCCCAATATTTAAATGCAGAAAACTAGATCCTGGATGCCAACAGAAATTCCTGCCCTTGTGTGTTACAGGCCAAAAGGGACCATTGCATTTTGCTCCAACGTGAGTGGTGACCCATTTCACAGGCTAATGGGAGCTTTCCAGAACACCAGCCCACCCCATTCCCATCTTTGCAGCATCCTCCTTTTCCAAGAGAAAATGAATCCTGCACCAAAGAGCGGCCTTGAAATCAATGTGTCCTGAACCACATGATCACACCATAAGACATCAGGTTGGATTCGCTTTCCCCACTCAGAGGAGTCAGGGAAGGGGAGCCCAGGAAAACCCTCTCCACGGCTGTTGCTAACGAAATGGTCAGAATCAGGTGTATTTTGTGAAAGCCTTGAGGCCATCTGTTTCTGTTACAGGGACTCCCCTGGCTGCTCCATCATACCAAACATGACTGACAGATTATTGATTCAGGGAGAATGTTGTGAATTTGTTTTTCATCTGCAATCCAGTAAATTAAACTTGAAGCTTAATCCTCATTTGTCCAGTCTCCTGGAAGAAAAGCCAAAGGTCCTGTTCTCAACTGAATCCATCACCTGCATGTATAACTAGCTCTTTTGGCAGACAGAGGAAGGAACAAAACACTCAATTGTGCAGAGAGGGTGGTTCCTACATAAATCAGAGATCAATCCAATATGAAGGCTTCCGCGCTCAGGCAATTAGTGCTGGATGTATTGCTTGCTTTGTCGACTCATCCGCAGGGGGCTTTTAGAAACGCATTAATTAACACCTCTGAAATCACTTTGTCTACAGTGGCAAAAACTGTTGTTTTTCTGCGTTGTTGCCAGCACATCGCATCAGAGAGTTATTCAATTAGTATGACAACACACACACCCCCAGTGCTCTCATATGCCAAGAAGGGTTTGTTCCCTGGGAGGTTTCCTTCCACCTTCTTCCCAGTGAATGGAAATGCTGCCCTTTGTCAGCGGGATTTGGAGAACAACCCCATGGATGATCCAAACCCAACTCCCTCCAGCTCCCAGGGAATGGTTCTGCTCCTTATTCCCAGAGACTCCCCAATTACTGCTGGTGAGTTATGTGTTTGGAGACAGATTGGGGCTGATTCTCATTCACACAAAGGCCCCTTCACACTGCTCTGGCAGGGGAAAGGGGCCTTAAAGTGAATGTAACTACGCTTATTAGCATAACTCAGAACCAGCTTGCTGGAGTGTCTGTTGGTCCAGCGTGAGTTCAAGGGGCAATAATATTATAGTAGCATGTAGGAATCCCAGCTGAGATTGGGGCCCCTCTGTGCTGGGGCCTGTACATATGCATAGTGAGAGACCATCTCTGCCCCCAAGAGCTCATGGGTCTGAATTAGCAAGACAGAGGCGGGTGGGTGAAGAGATATATCCTGCCCATTTTACAGAGGGAGAATTGAATCACAGAGAGGTGAAGTGACTTGCCTGAGGTCACACAGTGAGTCAGTGGCAGAGCAGGGAATTTAACCCAGATCTCCTAAATTCTGTTCTATACCTAAGCCACTGGACAATCCTTCCTCCGTTAAGTACTATGTGCTGATTTCTCCTCCCTCAGAGCTCACCTGACATAGCAGAACAACGAAGACCAATAACACCGAACATGTTTATAGACATTTCCATTTTCAAAGCACTACCCATAGACATTAACTCAGTAATCTGCACAATGCCCTAGGGAGGTAGTGTTCTGGGGAAACTGAGGCACAGAGTGGCCAAGTAATATACTGAATGGCACAGAGAGGCATGATTAGAACTCATGACTAGACTACGCAAGGAAGAGTTACCATTAAAACAACTTCAGGAAAAGAATTAATTGAACATCTTTGTTTATAACTTAGTATCATAGAAATTTGAGATGGGAAGTCCACTCAGCCTCCTTTCTAGTCAACGCAGGGCTCCCCTTATGGACTGTGTAGTACTGGAACAGTCGCTGGATCGTGAATAGGCCACGTGGCGTACTGAAGTCCTCACTGAGTTATCCACCTCACACCAGCTCTGTCTCAGATCAGAGCAGCAGGGAATGAGAACATGGCTGTTTACTGGACTGGCCGATTCCGAGGACTCTCTGGAGACTGCTCAGAGTGCAGCTACACTGCACTGTACACTAGGGTCTGTGGGACCCACAGCTGCAGACTTGGTCTTTCCAAGACTGCACTTGTGCCTCCTCCCTGCATTGTGAACCCGGGTTTACAAGTGCTGGACTAGGCTGGAGTGACAATACTACACACAGACCCAACTCAAGTCACCTACAAACCCAGGCTTGAGCTGCATCCACACTGCAAAATGACAGGGCTTGGCCCTGAATCCCAGCGGGACTTAGGCTTGAACCCACCCCCTAAGACCTAAGGGCCAAGTCAGAAAGATTTGTGCACCAGAAGATCTGGGAATGAGCGACAGGGGATGGATCACTTGATGATGATCTGTTCTGTTCATTCCCCCTGGGGCACCTGGCACCACTGTCAGAAGACAGGATACTGGACTAGATGGACCTTTGGTCTGACCCAGTGTGGCCGTTCTTATGTGTGTGGACGTGGGGGGAGGGGTTGGACTCAAAGCTGAGCATGAGCCCAAGTTTACAAGGCAGTGTAGACAGATCATGGGTTTCCAGCAGCACTTGATGGCTCTCACTTTCACTTTACGTGTTTGACAACTATTGTCTTAATGGAATCTGCCATTCGAGCTTCACTCCCAAACCCATTGCCAGGGTGCAAACAGCATCTGAAGGGATGTGATTCGCTGGGAAAGGCTCAGGGTCGGCAGCTATCACGACTTTGAGGTGGGAAGCCAAGCATACTAATGAACCTCTGGCTGTTTGGGGCAGTG